ATTATAAAATAATTGGTACTTAAAATAAATATATCAACATTAAAAGAAAATTTTGAATAAAATTATTTTAATAAATAAAAAAATATAATATATTTTTCATAAATGGACAAAAATAATTTTTTTTGACAAAATAATAAAAATATCTAATTAATAATTTTTTATAATATATATAATTATATAATATACTTGTTTTAATGAATGTATTTATTATGAATTTAAAAATTATAATAATAAATGTATTTTGATAAAGCCTGAATAATAATTATAAGTATAAATAATATATTTTATCTGTAATTAATGTTACTTATGACTAATTAGCTTGTTAGGAGCAGTTTTGAGATCGGTTAAGACAATTGGCTTTAAGTGCAACCCACTTAGGGGCAATTTAGTGTGAGTGGAAGCGGTTTTAATTAAAAAAAAAAAAAAGGTGAAAAAAAATCCCGCCTCAATTCTTTTCTCACTTCGTTCCCTCACTCGCTCACTCCCAGACCCTCACTCACTCCCCCACTCGCTTACTCCCAGTCCCTCATTCATAGGGATAGTAATGGAGCAGGTCAGGTACAGATTTTATGATACTCGTTCCCGTTCTCGCGACTTAAATTCATCTATGTACCCGTACTCGCTAGGTATGTAATTTCTGTTCTAATTTCCGTTCCTGTTGGATATTGAGTATATCGTACTCGTAGTCATAAAAAATTATTATTATTTTTTTACAAAAAAAATACACAATATTTTTAACATATTGGGTTTTACCTACGATCCGTTCTGGAACGTGAAAAGTAAAATGTGCTAGTTGGGAAAATAAATTTGCACGGTTGTTATTTGGGTAAATATTTTTAAAATAGTATTATTTTAGTAAAAAAACTCTATCTTAGTAATGCATACAGTTTTTTAAATGTGATAATGTACATAAATTTAAAGTTTTAGTTTATTATAATTTTCTATTATGTATTACTAAAAACTTTATTCTGCACTGTATTCGAATGAAAAAAATATATATTTTAGTCAACAATTGTTCATGAATCAACAATTGTTCATGAATTGTCTTAGAATAAAATAAATAAAAAACAATTATTTATGAGTAATTTTAAAATAAAATATAAAAAAAGACATACTCATGATGTATGAAGAGATTATTTTAGAAAGTTAAAGCAAATGAATAAAAATTAAAAATAACAGTTATCTTTTGTTATAAACAAAATATAATATGTAGGAGTATATTCTGGATTTGTCCTCTAAAATTTGGTTATCATTATTTCAAATATTTTTATCACTAAATTATTAGTTAATATCTAAATCCTGTGGGAATATCCGATTAAGATTCCCTGCTGATGAAATCCACAAGGTGGACTTTGCGGTGCAATCAAAATCATTTTTTTTTTAAGAAAGGGCTGCCCAAAAAAAAATTTTAAAACCACTACTGATGGGCGGTGTAATATACAAGGCAGGATTTGAACTCCTGACTTTGCTTAAGCATGGATCAACCTCTACCGCTAAATCACACACTCGAGGTTAATTGAATTTTTTGAATTTTTAAATATGAATCATATAAAGTTAAGGGTGCGCATCCATATATCCGGTAATATCTATGTATTTATGTACGTGGGGCCATGGAAGTTAATAAATGATAACTTTGTCTGATACGTAACGTATTTTTCTCGGTAGGGGTGAGCATAAAATCTAGACCCGAACCGAACCTGAAAAATCCAATAAAAAATATTATTTTTGGGTGGGTTCGGGCGGGTTTTACGAGTAAATCGGGTTAAAATTTTGATTTTATACGGGTTATATTGGGCGGGTTCGGTTTTAAATTTTTAAACCCGCTAAAAACCGAACCTAACCGAAAATGAGATAAGTTTATATTTTTATTATTTTTGTATAACTAAACAACAATGGTCCAAACTCAAAAGTCTTTATTTCAAGTATAATATTGCCATCAATTTGTAACTTTTTTTTTCTTTTTCTCATAACCTAGATATTTCTTTTGTCTTCTCCTTCCTCATTCAATTTCTCAATACACTAGTCTATTTTTATATTTTTCTTTTTGTTTCTTTCTTTATCTTTTTTTTCCATCTTCCTATCTCCATTTTGAGTACAACTTGTGTGACAGTAGTTTCTTATAGATTTTGTAATCTAACTTTATATTTCTTTTGCATGTAACAATTATGAATTTTGTTATCTTTTATTTTTGCTTCTTTAGTTTGTAAATGTTTTATTTACGAATATACTTACATCATCTATTGTTACCATCATTCTATTTTTGTTAACTGTTTTAAAAATATTTTTTTACCGTTTTAAGCTTCACCTTCGTTAAAATAACTTGGTCCACAGAAAATCTCAAACCCGATTGTACCCACCCGCCCAAATCCAAATCCGTTACAACCTGAACCGCCTCAAACCGAAAGCTCAGTCGGTCGGATATGGGTCACATTTTTCCAAAGTTAATTTACAACGGGTTGAACATTTTTCACCCGAACCCGACCAAACCCGCCCGTTGCTCACCCCTATTTCTCTGTATCCCAACCACTTTCTGGTACTCATTTATGTCATCCCTTCCATATTTAGTTTGCATGATCCCTTCATTGGTTCTGTATAAGCCCAATTGCTTTTGTCGGCAAACAATTGCAACATATATAGTTTGAAATCTCCCGAATAGCTTGGATGATTTGGATAGTAATTTTTGTAGTTTCTCTTACTTACCTGTGTCTATGGAGACTCAAGAGAAAGGAAAAGAGATTTCCGCCTGGTCCAATGGGGTGGCCAATTTTAGGGAGCCTTCACTTGTTAGGAGCAAATCCTTACCGTGATCTGCATGAATTAGCTAAAAAGTATGGACCTATCATGTACTTACGTTTAGGTTTTGTTCCCACCATTGTTGTTTCTTCACCACAGGCTGCTGAACTTTTTCTCAAGACCTATGACCTTGTCTTTGCTAGTAGACCACCCCTTGAGGCTGCAAAGTACATTGTTTGGGAGCAGAGGAACTTGGCCTTTGGTGAATATGGTTCTTACTGGCGCAACATACGTAAGATGTGCACGTTGGAATTGTTAAGTCAAACCAAAATTAACTCCTTCAGATCCATGAGGGAAGAGGAACTTGACTTGTTGATCAAGCTTCTAGGAGAGGCAGCCAATGATGGAGTTGCTGTTGATGTCAGTGCCAAGGTTGCAACACTCAGTGCAAACATGTCTTGTAGAATGATTTTAGGAAAAAAGTACATGGATCAGGACTTAGATGAGAAGGGGTTCAAGGCTGTGATGCAAGAGGCTATGTACTTGGCAGCAGCTCCTAACATTGGTGATTACATTCCTTACATCAGTAAACTTGACCTTCAAGGACTAATCAAGCGTATGAAGGTATTGCGAAAAATCTTTGATGACTTCTTTGACAAAATTATTGAAGAGCATATTCAATTGGAGAAGGGAGAAGACAAGGTGAAGGATTTTGTGGATGTCATGTTAGGCTTTGTTGGTACTGAAGAATCTGAGTACCGAACTGAACGCTCCAATATCAAAGCCATATTGCTGGTAAAGAAAATGACACAACTTGGCATTCTGTCTTCGTACCTTTTGTTTTTCCTTTTAAACTTATGTTGTGTACTTAAATTAAATTTTGTATAGTTGTAAGTGCATAGCTATTTGTCATAGTACTCACTTCTATGTGTTTCTTTTACACTTTTTTTTCCCTTTACCCACAGGATATGTTATTGGGTTCAATGGATACTTCTGCTACAGCAATTGAGTGGACACTTTCAGAGCTCTTAAGGAATCCAAGAGTGATGAAGAAAGTCCAAATGGAATTGAAAAATGTGGTAGGTATGAAGAGGAGGGTGGAGGAATCAGACTTGGACAAGTTGGAGTATTTGGACATGGTCATAAAGGAAAGTATGAGACTTCATCCGGTGGGACCTTTACTAATACCACACTATTCAAGAGAAGATTGCATGGTTGGAGAATTTTTCATTCCTAAAGAAGCAAGGGTGATAGTAAATGCATGGGCAATTATGCGAGACCCCAGTGTTTGGGATGAGGCAGAAAAGTTCTGGCCAGAGAGATTTGAAGGAAGCAACATAGATATGAGAGGACATGACTTTCAATTGATACCATTTGGATCTGGCAGAAGAGGCTGTCCAGGAATGCAATTGGGATTAACCGTGATTCGTATAACACTTGCTCAACTTGTACATTGTTTTAATTGGAAACTGCCAAATGACATGTTGCCATATGACTTAGACATGACAGAAGAATTCGGACTCACAATGCCCAGAGCGAACCATCTTGTTGCCATTCCAACCTATCGCCTTCACGATGAAAGGGATTAGGATAAGATACCAACATTGTACTAGTACATGTGTTCGGTGGGGTCGATTAGGATATGATTTCCAAGGGAAAAAAATTTGTCCTTTCCCTTGTCTATTATCGTCGTCAGCATTTGTTTGTCTGTGGAAAAATTGTCTTTCTAGTGTAATTCACGAATTTCAAACTCATGCTGGCCTGCAATACTTGTGATGGATTGATTTATTTTTGTTGAACGGAAAGGAAAAGTATACAAACACTGTTACGTCATTTGTTAATTAGGACTTTTGGCTGTTTGTGGTGTAATAATCCAAGAAATTCTATAGTAACCATCGTATTTCAGGGTACTAATACAGTTTTTTATATTTTATATTTTTAATAATTTATTTAAATAATATTTATGATATTTTATTCTTTTAAATTTTAAATTATTTAGTTATTTTATTTTTATTTTATATATTCTAATTTATTTGTAATAATATTATTATATATTTAAATAATTTAATTTTAATAATTTTTTAAGTATATTTTTAATTTTTTTGTCTTAAATTTTTGAATTTCTATATTGTAATTTTAATAACTTTTTATTTTTACTATTTATTAATTTTTTCCTTTTTTAATATTTTATAATATTATTAAAATCTTATAATTTTAATCTCTATAATTTTATCTTACTTTTTATTTTATAAGTATAATTTAAATTATTTATTTTATAATTAAATTATTTTTTTAAAATCTTTTATAAATTTACATAGAAAAATGTATTGAGACTCCTCGATCTTTGAGGGTACCGTAACAATTCCCTTGTTTTAATTTTCCGCACATGTTGTTATGATCAAAACCCTAATATTGGGATCAAACTACGTAAAGGTGTCCACTGTCCACTATGACGATTTGAAAATATATTAGAACGTTATTTTAACATCATTTTCTCGCAACTTTATAACAAGAAAAAGAGATACGTGTAAACAGAAAAGTAAGAAATTAGATAATTAATTAATATATATATAAAAAAGAAAGATAAACCAAAATTTATATAAAAAAAAATATTAACATGAGAAATGTTACCAACATAGACTTTGCATACTTTTTTTTTCTCCTATTAGTTGAATTATATTGAAAATTATAAATTTTTTTGATGCCACGTCTTATTTAATAATATATTTTTTAACTTTATAAACTTTAATTAGAAGAAAAAAAATGTGTTTAAAATAATTTAGTAAAAAGTGCATTCCTAGCACGCTTCTTATTAACATTTTAGTGGCAATATAACATTTGTTCTAAATGGGTCTTACGTTTGATCAATCTTGCTTGAGTTCGACCTCATCCTACCAACACATAAAAACAATTGCGAATGACGATTGACAAATTGGCTCTAACAATAATAGTGGGTTCAACATGCTTTGCCATTCCTATATATTTGATGAGTCAAACATTTATATTTTATATTTTGAAGAGTGTTAATAACAATTTTTTCAATACATTTTTATAAACAAACTTTTATTTGTTTGTTAAAATTTATTTAAAATTACAAAAATCAAGAGATAGACTATGCCATTTTATTAAATGTAAACCTACATAATTAGGTGATTTCAATAAAGTTCAAACAATAAAAAATAATGCATTCAAAATCTATGTCAAAAAAGTGTGTTGTAAATATTTTCTATAGTGTTTGGTTCAATTTTAGGAGGGGATGGAAGAAAGAAGAGAGGAGTAGAGAGATTTAAAAAAAAATCTTATTTGGTTCGGTTTTTAGGAGTAGAGTAACAAGAACAAAATCCCCTTAATCCAATTTTAACCTCCCTCTAATATTGTGGAGATTTAGAGGGGAGGGAAAAGATTTTAAAATATTTTTAATATGATATCCTTATTTATGTTATTAAATAAAAAATTATAATGATATAAAAATAAATTGATTTTTGAAATTTATTCTCTCCTTTATGAACCAAATAAGAAAAGAGTTA